CTTGGAGGACTCCTGATCGACCTTTGCGAACTATATGGAATAATGATAGTAAGATGGTTCGGCGAACAACAAAATTCAATCATCAAACGTACCGTCTCGCCATCAGATGACGAAGGGCCAAGATTGATCGGTGCGATTGCCAGGTCAAGATCATGACTTCATTCTTGAGCTTCAGGAGCAGCATTCAAGTTAACATTGACACCTAGATACATGGCCGGTCTGTCGGCATCATCAGATACCATTTCATCCCTCAAGCTCAGGATCTTGAAAGAAGGAATCAACGAACCTTGGGCCTCATCACGAATAGCCGAAGAGTCTCAGCAGGATAACTTGGCAGCTGAAGTAACTTCCTCGGATCCATCACTTTGACATGTAGGGTTGTCGACACTCATAGAAGGATCGACAGATCCATGACAAAGAGGCGATCTTCCCCCAGAATAACTAGAAGTCGTCCACTCACGAATAAACTCATTCCCAAAATCAACCGGAGAAGATGATTCCATTGGTCGAAGCTTCAAATACAGTGATGGAAAAGTAGATCTCCCAAGTAAAATTATTACAACAACAATGGATCTAAAAACAAAGGCAAGGAGAAGAACGGTGCTATATAACTATAAAGAAAAATCTGAAAGATGAAGTAAAGAAAAAGAGAAGGAAGAATACCTTGTCAGTCGCTCCAAAAGAAAGAAGAGTAAAAGAAAAACGAGAGATGAATGCCAAGACACCTGTATTTATAGAGAAAGGAAGAAGGAGCCAACGCTTGACCTAGGGGACATAATGATTGCACCGAATGGTCACATCTCTCCCACGTGTCAAGATATTCGAATTTTTCGTGCCGCTGTTGGAGCTCTTGAGAATTCATATCCAGTTAAAACAAGGGATATGCGATTAGGTCAAGAGAATTGCGCAGCTGGCCGAACGAAGTTTTGTATCAGTCCATTTGAAATTCAAAATGACTACGAAAGAGGGGGGTAAATTATTGGGCATGGGCTTTGCGCCAGCTATATTCGTTCGGCCCATTAAAAGAAGTCAACAATGGATTGAGAAAAGTCAGAAAGGCTCGGCCTGTTAACCAAAAGGATGTAAATCGGCCCATCTTCTAGAAGGAATGAATAATAACCACTTCAAATAGGAAAAAAAAGGGATTCCACATCGATCGAGAATAAGACCTAGCACATCACATCAGACTATAAATACGGGCAGAGTAGTGTTAGCAAAGGACATTTGAGAACTCAGAGGGGGAGTCAAAGAATTATCCGATTCCAGCTCAAGTATCAAGCTCGACACTCCGACTTGTTTTAAAGTAGTTTTCCTTATTTAGCACTTGTAGCATGGCAAAATTATAGAACTTCTTGTAATCGCTGAACGTAGGGTTACTTAATAAAGGAAATCTTCTGTTACAACCAATTTGTCTTTCTATTTTGTTAAAATTCGGCTCTCGGTATTGTAACACCCGTCCCGCCACAAAGGATGAGACTGTATGTTATTAATCGGATCTTGCCAAAACGTTTATTTCTTTAAAATTCACCAACGAACAAATTTCAACCCGCAACTTTTGAAACTTACTAACCTGGAGAAAATGGGAAAAAGGGGTGAGTAAAACAAGTTTACTCAGTAAGGAGATCAACTCTGCCCACTAGACATACAGTAAACACGTTCCAAACATAATCAGCAACCATTACTTAGCATAGATTCAAAATGTCTATCAATCAAACAAACATGCATTTGTCTTGCTCACGACAAGATATTTTACTTTCATTTTTAGTTTTTAAGTATTTTAACTTATGGCTACTCAAGCCTATATTAACTTTAGCTACTCAAGCCTATTAACTTTGGCTACTCAAGCCTATTAACATTGGCTACTCAAGCCTATTTATGGAAGACCACGGACCGTAGCTCGAACCTTCCCGTACTGCTCGTCAGTGGTTATTGACCTGTATATGAATCCGTCGGTCCATTACAGTCCAACCTCCTCGAGTATCCTTCACATACTCTTTAGTTTTATCTTCTCATATACATATACTTAATCATTTTTATAATTTAATATATGTTAAACATGATTTCAAATCATGTCACTAATGCATTTCACATGTCATGTTACTAACAACCTAACTTTATCATACACACAAATTTACATAAATCAACAAAAAGACAATTCTCGAGCCTATACTCCTCATCATTGTGTGAAACGAATAGGTTCTTAGAAAAATACATGACATACATTATTTAACAGATTATTAGATTCAAAGTTGGGTTGTACCGTTTGGCCATGTAATCATGAAAAGTGAGATAAAATAACACATTAATGACTTAATTAAGAATTATCTTATGGCTTGCTGCACTTGCTTTGATGGGTAAAAAAAAGTTCGCTAAAGCTGTTCTAGCAACATGATATTATAGATGTACCTTTACAATAAATAATGTTCATGAAACTCGTGTATTCGCATTTTATATGGAATGATGTTATGTACAAACAATCGATAATTAACATCAAAACTTTTAAAGAAATGTCTTCATGAAATATGAATAAAAAATAAACTCTTTTAGAGATAAGATAAATGATCATTAGATCGTCCTCGATGCCATTTATTCTTCTCGCAAATTTCTTAAGTGATCTTTGTTACCACGTGATATATATCAAATCATTTATTTATCAAGAATACATTATCGTCGACAATATAAATGTTGTATATCACTTATTATATTTATGCTCAAATATTTATCTTTTAAATTTTAATGATTATATTTTATACTAAAAATTTATATTAATAGAAAAGTTTTTAGATCAAAATACCACGCAACGCGTGGGTACAAAATCTACTCATGGATAATTACATCATAAATATTGGTTCTTAAGTATTAACATGAATCTAGTTAGCTTAGTTTCTGTTTTTTCTTTCTTAGGTGTTTTGGTTGATTGGTCCAAAAGGGTCAAGAATTACTTTTAATGGGGCTAATCGGGAGAGATTTTTCTCTCGTTGAAAGCTCGACAGAGGTTAAGCCTTCGTTTGTTCAGAAAAAAAAAAGGTTAAGGCTAGGCATGACCAAAAGCTAACCGTAATCGTATTTTGGACTGTAATCGGATCATTTCTCAACTATAACCGTATAAAAAAATTAAAAACCATAACCGTTAAGTAACCGTAAATGTATCAAAACCGTTAGTTAACCGTACGGTTAACCATACTATTAATCTTATAGTTAAAATCATAAAAATATAATTGTAAATACATATAATGCAAAAACAAATATCTAATGTTCTGTCAAAAAAATTTCAAAGAACTAAATGATACCATATATGAAAAAAATTACGTTAGAAAAACTTGTCTTTTTCTCAAAAAAAATATGTTGTAATGCTATATTGATTGAAATGGAGAAAACTTAGTTTATAACATACTTTTCATCTTATTAAAGTAGTATAAAAATTAGATAACTCGTAATACTTTGCCTCTGATATTAACGTATCGTAATCATCAGATAACCGTAACCGCATTTAACCGTAACTGTGGTAACCAAAACCGTATTTAACCGTAACTTTTTTAACCGTATTCAACCGTAACCGTTTTAACCGTATATATAATAGTTAAGATTACGACTAAAAAAAAATTATAATCATAACCGATAACTAATCAACTTTTATCGTAATAACTATAACCGTGGTCATACCTAGTTAATGCTTCGTAAATTTCCTAAGTTTTAAAGTTTTTAACAATATTTTTAAAAGACAAAAAAAAAAGTGAAAAACGTAAATAATGTTATTGATTGGTAACACCAAAATCACGGTTTTCTATATTCTTTTCCCAAAACCACATCACATGCACCAATCAAGAAATTTTACAACATTTGCGTTTTTTTTAAAAAAAAAAAAAAAAAGATTGCGGTTTCATCCGTTGTATAATAGACCGGACCACACTTCAAAACAGCCAGAAGTCATTACCCTGCGGATTTTTGAAAAACGCATTGGATAATAGATTTTTTGTTTTGTTTTTTAAATTATAATTATTTTAATATTAAAACTAGTATATATGGGTTTAACAAAAAAATCATATCAGAATACTAAAGAAAAAAAAAACAGCAGCAAAAAAAAAAAATCTCCACCATCTTACCATCTTCTTCAAACGTCCTCTGATCTCATTTGGAGGTAAATTTTTTTTATTAAACACTCTTTGTAACAATTAATTTCAATATTTAATGCATATATCAACTGATTTAATACAAAATATACTTGTTAAATGATAATGGATTTAACTTATTTGTTAAGACATACAAGAAATACCATTATTTTCTTTTTAGTGTTGAATATTTTTTCTTTTCTAGGATTTTTTGAAAAATGCTTTATTTTTATTAAAATTTTAAAAACTAACATATGTTATAATTTTCTTAACCTACTTTTTTTTTATGAACAAAATTATATCGTATTATCGTAATTAAAATTAAAATCTACATACTTACTAGATAATATTAAAAGTATAATGTATTTAATTTGCCACTGTTATTGGTTAAATACTGAAAAACATGTAATATTTTGGTGTATTATATTTTGTTAAAACATGGGCTAAAAAAAAAAAATTCTTACGTTAATTTTTTTATAATTTAAAAAAAAAACATAAATATTCATAAACCAATTGAGTTTATACATCAAAAAATATCTTTTAAAAATAATAGAAAATAGTTAATAGCTTATCAAAATATTTTTTTAAACACTATAAAATAATTGATGGATTTTAATGATTGTAGATATGTCATCTAGTCGTCGACGGAACACAAATCCTTCTACAACAACAAGTTCAACTCATCCCAACGAAACATCAACTCCTCCTACAGAAACAACAGTGTGGGTAAATTTACTTTTACTTCTATTTTTTTGTAAATAAAAATCTTTATTAAATTTTCCATAATAAATCACATTGTTGTATTTACGAAATTTGTAAAATTAAGACAAGTACAAATGGTCGTACATTCAAGAAAAAACATTAATTCAATTGTTCGACGAAGCAATTGCCATGAATAATTACACTCTTAAGCATCCTACTACCATCGGTAGAGACTATATGGTTGAAAAGTTCAATCAAGCGTTCCAAATGAATATAAATTATGGTTTCTTCAAAAACAAGCTTGATGAATTCAAAAAATGTTACAAGAGGTGGAAGTTTCTTATGCATAAAACTGGCATCACGGTTTATCCTGATACATCAATGATCTATGCATCTGACACATGGTGGAAAGAACAAGAGCTTGTAAGTACACATAATTATTATATTCATCAAAATATGTTTCAAAATTTCGGTATTAAGAATCTAATTGATTTAAAAATTTTAGGGATGCAAATTAACAAAAAGCTTGAACCAACGACCGCCTGAGTTCTGGAACGTAATGCAACGATGTTTCGTCTTATATGATGTTCAATCACAATCTCAACATTCTGCTCGCCAAAGAAGAGAACAATTGATCAACGAGCATCCAATTGATGAAGATGAAAGTGCAGATATTGCTGGAACAAGAAACGGTCTGTTGGAACAAGTTTGGGATTGCTCGGTTGGTGCTGACGTGGTTCGTGGAGTTGAAGATAAATATCAGAAAGATATTTAGAGAGATCAAATCAGAAGAAACGTGCAGCTGAAGATATTCTTGGAGAAGAATATTATTGAAGATTTGTTTCTTTTATTTAGAAGAGGATATTTTCCTTTTGTATCGGGATAAAATCTAGGGTGACATATCTCATAGGTATATGGGTATATATACTAGGGAGATGTGTGCTGCTAGGGTTAGCCGAAAAGAGAGAGAGAAAAACGAATTGCTTTGTTTCGGTGCTTTTGTAGGCAAGTCGAGCTGTTTTCTGGAACACGGGTTTAGTTGTTCTAATACTAGGTGTAACTAGATATTGTTTGGTGTCGAACTAAGAAGTTCTTAGTGTCGTGTAATTCCAGTTAGGAAAGGTCTTGTTGTAAAGATTGTCTAAGTGAATCTAGTTATTGTTTTGAGGACGTAGGCACGTTGCCGAACCTCGTTAATTCTCATGTGCCTTATCTATCTCTGCTTTTTCAATTGGTATCAGAGCGGGCATCTGTAAAGAGTCTGACTCCACAAACGGGTGAGGATCCTGAGGAAAGAGATGGATGATATGTTTCGAGAATGGTTGGCAGTTAAAAGTCTTGCGTTAGATGCTGAAAACTATGGATATTGGAAGGTGAATATGAAGGCAATCATACAAGGTATTGATGAGGACGCTTGGACAGCTGTGGAAGATGGCTATGAAGTCCCAAAAATTGAAGAAAGAGACGGTTCTATTGTCACTAAACCAAAGGCTAAATGGACAAAGAATGAGAAGACTATGTCAAGGTATAATGCAAAAGCTTTATCTACTATTTTTACCTCGGTTAACAAAAATCAGTTCAAGTTGATTCAAGGGTGTGAATCAGCCAAAGAAGCGTGGGATAAGCTAGAAAAAGTTTTTGAAGGAACAAAAAGTGTGAAGATATCAAGAATTGACAGGCTAGCTTCTCAATTTGAGAATATACGAATGGATGAGCACGAAAATGTTACAGATTTTAGTGCTAAGCTGTGTGCGATTGCTAATGAAGCACATGTGATTGGAAAGACGTACAAAGACAAGAAGCTTGTCAAGAAGTTGCTGCGATGTTTGCCTAAGAGATTCGAGGCACAAAAGGCGGCTATGGAAACTGCTTTTAACACGGATGAGACCCCATTTGATGAAATAGTTGGGAGACTACAAGCGTATGAGATGGACCAAAAGGATGTTATTTCAAATAGTGTCAATAGACCAACTCTATATGAGAATGATGATAAGTTGAGAATACAAAATTTAGAAGAATCTATGGGCTCACTTGTGAAGATGTTTGGGAAACTTCTTAAAGACGTTGGAAAAAGGGGTAAGAACTCTTTGGAAAATGATCATGGTACATACAAAAATGTGGGAGAAGGAAGACGTGGTATACAGTGCCATGAATGTAGAGGATTTGGACACATCAAGTCTGCATGTCCGAGTATCAAGAAGAAGAAAAAGGTTCGTTGCTTAGGATGTAACGGTTATGGACATACAAAATCTGAGTGTGTCGATGGTGTGAAGATAAAAAGGAATATCTATGAAGACTCTAGTGAGAGTGAAACAGATGATGAAGAGGAGTTAGCCAACTTTGTGGCATTACCTTCATTCGTGGAGCACAAAGAAGGAAGCGAAAAATCTGATTCTATATCAACTGCTGAAACAAGTAGTGAATACTCCAACACAAGCAGCGATTTAGGAAGCGATCAAGAGGTGGATCTTCAAGATGAATTCAAAAGTCTATATGAGAGTTGGGTTAAGAAAAGTAAAGACTACATGGTACTTATCGATGAGAAGATGTTGATGGAAAGTAAAATAAAGAATCCGAGAAAGAGCTAACTTTTGAAAAAGAAGAATCAGAGAAATTGAAAATCAAGCTTGCTGAAAATCAAAAGTGTTCTTGTGCTTTGAAGAATGAAGATCATGAAGTTGTTCATATGCTAAAAGTGAAGGAGGAACTTGCAGCGGAAAAAGAAAAATCCAAACGGTTGGAGGATGAACTCATGCAGAATGAAAAGTACTTGAGGATGTTGAATAATGGAACAAAGAATCTAGATCAAATACTAAGCATGGGAAGAACAGAAAAAACAAGATTTGGTCTTGGTTATCAAGGAGGTATATCCGATTCAAAGACTGTTTTTGTTCAAGAGAATCTGTCGAAATCTGCTGGAACAAGGGAAAACCTGTTGACGACGACAACAAAAAGTCTCATCACAACTCCGATGGATGAGCATAATGTACAAGTCAAAAGTAGCGGTCCATGTATTTCTGATGAGAAGAAGATGAGTTATGTTCGTGGATGCAACAAAGGTTCATCAAATTTAAGAACATGTGTTGCTAGCTGGAACAAGCTGAATTCTGTTGGAACAGAAACCCAGAAAAATCACCAAAAAGTATTTTTTACTTCAGGATGCTTTTATTGTGGAAAGAAAGGGCATATCAAGGCCTACTGCTATAAATTCCTTGACAAGATTAGATGTGCATTAAAGCAAAAGAAGGTTGTTCAAGATTCAAGGAGATTTCAAAAGGTTTGGATTAAGAAGATGGATTTGTATGGTGATGTGTCTCATAAGTCATCAACCAATACTCCAAGGAAGATGATGTGCTACACATGTAGGTGTTTGAAGCACATGTCGAATGATCAAGCAAAGTTTACAAAGAAAAAGTTCAGATTTAGAAATGAGAGTTATTGGAGAGATCCAAGTGGAAGACGATTCTGATCGAGGAGAATATTCCAGCAAGTATGGTTATGCACATGTTTTTTTAACAAAGTTTTATCACTCAAGCAGGGGGAGAATGTAGAATATCCATGGAGAGTAGAAGTTCCATGGAGAGTTAATTATCACAGTGATATATGATTAAGGGGAAGTTTGTATATCATGATGTCTTGTTGGGGATGCGTGATAATTATGGTGAGCTTGAGTTGTAATACTCAGTTAAAAAGGGGGAGAATGAAAGTGCAGATATTGCTGGAACAAGAAACGGTCTGTTGGAACAAGTTTGGGATTGCTCGGTTGGTGCTGACGTGGTTCGTGGAGTTGAAGATAAATATCAGAAAGATATTTAGAGAGATCAAGTCAGAAGAAACGTGCAGCTGAAGATATTCTTGGAGAAGAATATTATTGAAGATTTGTTTCTTTTATTTAGAAGAGGATATTTTCCTTTTGTATCGGGATAAAATCTAGGGTGACATATCTCATAGGTATATGGGTATATATACTAGGGAGATGTGTGCTGCTAGGGTTAGCCGAAAAGAGAGAGAGAAAAACGAATTGCTTTGTTTCGGTGCTTTTGTAGGCAAGTCGAGCTGTTTGCTGGAACACAGGTTTAGTTGTTCTAATACTGGGTGTAACTAGATATTGTTTGGTGTCGAACTAAGAGGTTCTTAGTGTCGTGTAATTCCAGTTAGGCAAGGTCTTGTTGTAAAGATTGTCTAAGTGAATCTAGTTATTGTTTTGAGGACGTAGGCACGTTGCCAAACCTCGTTAATTCTCGTGTGCCTTATCTATCTCTGCTTTTTCAGAAGAGAGCCAAGATGACTCAGACGCTGATAGTGGTGACGTGCCTCAAACACAAGTTCCTGAGACGCAAGAAGAAGAAGAAGTGTAACGTGTTACAATTGATGATGATGAAACGTTCCAAAATTCCGCTGCTAGAAACCAACAACGAGGTAGGCTAAATTTGCAGTCAACCGCTAGACGTGGGAGTAGTTCACAAAGATCTGGGAGAAGCGCAAGAGTTTCTATTGGAAGTGGTTCACGAGGGAATCGTAGGCGACAATCGTTTGAGACAACAATACAAGATACCATTGCTGGATACAGAGAATTCCAACGACAAAGTTTTCAACAACTTCGTCCTGGTGGTTTTGACCAAGATGATTATGATGAATTTAAAAAGGCGGAAGCGATATTCATTGCGCTAGACCTTCCCAAGCACACAAGATTTTGGGCATGCATTAATGCACTTAAGGAACTAGTATTTTGGCGTAAGTATTTCATTGACATATCTGGAAGCAGTAACGAGGATAAGCTACAACTATTAGAAGCTATGACTGGTGTCTCACGGAACAACCAAGATGTGCCAAAACAGTTAAGGCCATGCCATTCATTTGGGAGCCCGAATTCCGGAGGTCTATCATCCGAAAGTCCATCTTCTGTGGGTAATAATTTAGGAGGGCGAAACTCACCCGGTTTTTGGGGTCCCGTTTATCGACAGTGGGGCACACCACCAAATGCTCCACAGTGGGGCACACCACCAAATGCTCCACAGTGGGGAACACCACCAAATGCTCCTCAGTGGGATACACCACCAAACTTTCAACAAAGCGGTTCATCTGGAACGACTCCAGCAAATGTCCAATATGGATTTTCACTTGGTGGTCAGGGAGAACATATGAGGAATACACAACAAGCTTCACCATCCGGTCTCGGTTTTACAAATTATTTTGAAACTGGAAAAATGCCACAAACACCTAGACCGGGAGGTTTTTTCAACATTTGGGGAACCCGGCAAGAACCAAATGCAAGTCATCAAAGTGATGTAGGAGATGAAGATTAGTTTGTGATGATTGTGTTTTATTAATCTCGCTTATGTTTTGAAATAAATATTGTTTTTTTAGTTTATTTTTGAATTATGTTTAGGTTGTTGTTGTAAAATAATCTATGATTAATAACATATCGTTTGTATTAAATTTCAGGCATTTCGTATATGTCAGTTACGATCACAAGGACTCAACAATTTAAGTTACGAAGAAAGAATTGAACTGTGGAATTTAGAAAACGAACAATTTGAAGAGTTAGTAATTCAACCAGCTTTGACTTATTATGATCGATATTTTCAAAGAGCACCAGTCCAAACCGATGGAGGTTTGGGATGGAGGAATATTTGGCGTCGATTACAACAAGATGATGCTGCCTGTCTTCAGTTATTACGGATGTCACTTCCATGTTTCACAACATTGTGTAATATGTTGCAGACAAATTACGGTCTACAACCAACACTAAATATTAGCATTGAAGAAAGTGTGGCTATGTTTCTACGGATATGTGGGCACAATGAAGTTCAAAGAGATGTTGGTTTAAGATTTGGCAGAAATCAAGAAACTGTGCAGAGAAAATTTAGGGAAGTTCTTACGGCTACTGAATTATTGGCATGTGATTATATCAGAACTCCAACAAGACAAGAACTTTATCGAATTCCTGAAAGACTTCAGGTAGATCGGAGATATTGGCCATATTTTAGTGGATTCGTTGAAGCTATGGATGGAACTCATGTATGCGTAAAAGTAAAGCCTGAGTTACAAGGAATGTATTGGAATCGACATGATAATGCATCAATGAACATAATGGCAATATGTGATTTGAATATGTTATTCACATATATTTGGAATGGAGCACCTGGATCATGTCATGATACAGCTGTTTTGCAAATGGCACAACAAAGTGATTCTGAATTTCCTTTACCTCCGTCAGAGAAGTATTATCTTGTTGATTCTGGTTATCCAAACAAACAAGAGTTTTTGGCTCCTTATAGATCATCACGAAACCGAGTTGTGAGATATCATATGTCACAATTCTATTCTGGTCCTCCTCCAAGGAATAAACATGAACTGTTCAACCAATGTCACGCATCTTTACGTTCGGTTATCGAGAGAACTTTTGGAGTTTGGAAGAAAAAATGGAGGATTATTTCTGATTTCCCAAGATATAATGTTCACATTCAAAAAAGAGTAGTAATGGCTACAGTGGGATTACATAATTTCATCAGAATTTCAAATTTCTCAGATGCAGATTTTGCAGATGTAATGACAGAAACAAATATAAACAACGGTGATTTTGAGCATGATGTATGTGACATGGATGCAACAGAGTTAGCAGATGGAGAATATATGACGCAAATAAGAGACAATATTGCAAATATGTTATGGGGAAATCAAAATAATAGATAATACTTTTTTAATATGTTGTACTTTTTTTTTATGATGAAACTATTCAACGGTTTTAACAATATGTATGTTAAAAAATTAAATTTATATTTTGATCAATTTGTGTATTAACGGTTTATAATTATATGTTATTGTTTCTTCATTAACAAAAAAATTAATTAATCATTAATATATATATAATCTATAATCTGGACCGCTTATTGATTTGTTACCATTCAAATATTTTATTATGTACCGCAATTAGTTTTTTCACCAATCAAACATTATCCCGTACCGTTTATTTTGTACAAACAGCACTTATCCCGCAAATACTTTTCTTCCGCACGTACCGCAGTTGAACCGTACCGCACTATAATACCGCTTTTCCCGCATAACAAAAAATGCTGTTCCCATTCGGACCCAATATCCCGCGAGACCCACTCTGAAACTGGCGCCAAAATCGAGGTTAAGACTAAAAATGCCCAAATCAATCAGATAGAACTAAACCCTAGAACCAACCAGAGAATCAACATCTCCGATGAAATCACGATCGCTAAAGCTCCGGGAAGCCCATAAAGTTGGCGGAAGCGCCGCCTTCTGCTCTATCCTCTGGGACCACAAAGCCGAACATTTCGTCACTTCATCTTCTACCGATCCCTCAATCTCCGTCCACGACGGACTCACTCCTTCCACTTTACCTCCTACGATTCTTCGACATCACCAAGACGGCGTCACCGCCTTGGCTCTTAGCAACGACTCTACTTTCCTCGCTTCCGGATCTATTGACCATTGTGTGAAGCTCTACAAGTTCCCAAGTACATAATTCAAATCACTTCTTCACATTCTCAATTACATTTCAATTCGTGTTGATAAGTTTGTGGAAGTGTAAATTTTAGCGACATTTGTTGATTTCAAGCTATAGGTTTGTTAGTTCCTTCTTAATTGCAAGTTCTTCCTTTGATTTTGCCTTAGGTGGGGAATTTCAGACGAATATTACTAGATTTACGCTTCCGATTCGCGTGCTTGCGTTTAACGGCTCAGGGAGTCTATTGGCAGCTGCTGGAGATGATGAAGGAATCAAACTTATCAATACATTTGATGGTTCGATTGTTAGAGTTTTGAAAGGGCACAAAGGACCTGTGACCGGCTTAGATTTCCACCCTAATGGTGAGCTCTTGGCTTCGATTGACACAACTGGTACTGTGTTATGCTGGGAACTTCAAAACGGAATTGTTTCGTTTACCCTTAAGGGTGTTGCGCCCGACACAGGTTTCAACACTTCCATTGTGAATATTCCTAGATGGAGCCCTGATGGAAGAATCCTTGCCGTGCCTGGTTTGAGAAACGATGTGGTGATGTATGATAGATTCACTGGGGAGAAGCTTTTTGCCTTGAGAGGTGATCATCTCGAAGCTATATGCTATTTAACGTGGGCTCCTAATGGCAAGTATATAGCTACATCTGGTCTTGATAAACAAGTTCTTCTCTGGGATGTTGATAAGAAACAAGACATAGACAGGCAGAAATTCGAGGAGAGGATATGTTGTATGGCCTGGAAACCGAATTGTAATGCTTTGTCGGTCATTGATACCAAGGGAAAATACGGAATTTGGGAATCTTTGGTTCCATCATCCATGCTATCTCCTACAGTGGGTGTTCCAGATATACTACCAAAGAAGAGGAATGAGATTCTTAATTTTGATGAAGAAATCGAGGAAGAAATTTATCGTGCATCTGAAAGTTTAGATGATGCTATGGGAGATAGTGATGATGGAGAATCTCATCATGCTAGCAGGAAAAGATTGAGGAAGAAAACTTTGATTGATGATGATGTTGATGCATATGAGGAGCTTAATGATGGGAGTAGCTTACCTTCGGCATCTGAAAACAGGAAAAAATCACATAGAGCACATAGAGAGAAGCAGGGTGCAAGAAGTGGGGCTTTTAAAAGCACTTCAGCATCAACCAAGTACAAAATGCAAAGTCCCTTTCAACCTGGTGCAACACCACTGGAACCAGGAAAACGGACGTTCTTGTGTTACAATATATTGGGATGTATAACTACAATTGAACATGAGGGGAACTCCCGTATTGAGGTACTTGAGGCTTACATTTGTTACACTTCTAACTTGATGTTTTCCTTATAGTGGCTTTTCAGAAAGAAAGGGTCACACACTTGGTTCTTTTGTGTAATTTTGGTTTTTTATTTTTGCTTGCTCTCTAAATGCAGACAGATTTTCATGATACTGGAAGAGGTCCACGAGTTTCATCAATGATCGACATCTATGGCTTCACTATGGCATCAATTAATGAAAGTGGGTGTGTCTTTGCAAATCCTTGCAAGGGAGAAAAGAACATGAGTGTTCTGATGTATCGACCATTTAGAAGCTGGGCCAGTAATAGTGAGGTTAGAGGATCATTACTTACACAACATTCATCAGAAATTACGGACCAGGATAGGAAAATAAATGACTTGGTTACTTTTTGATTGAAACATCTAGTGGACAATGAGGTTTGAAGGTGAAGAGGTGAAGGTTGTTGCTAACGGTTCTGGTTGGGTTGCTGCAGTTACAAGCCTCAATTTGCTTCGCATATTTAGCGAGGGTGGTTTACAGGTTTCTCCTTTTATACTCTATTCTTTATCATGTGTCATAATTCATGCAAGCTGATCAGCTACACAGCCGATCGGTCATAGCTTACCATTAAGTGTTATAATGATTTTCTGCTTAACTCGCTGTTGTGAATTGTGCCTCTGTTTGGCTCTATTTGGAGTATTTTTAGATGAAAAGGTTTTATTGACGCAACTATATAATTACTACGAGAATCTGCAGCTCTCGTAAAACACTGAACTAATTGAAACAACAACAGGATTTAGATATAGTCAGTGTATTTTGGCATGAACAGATTTTGACTAACTTAAACAGAACGGTAGTGTGTAATATGTACCGTAGTATTGATATACTTTGTCTATTTGATCTGATTAAGTATGGTCATTTCTTGCAGAAACATATTCTTTCCCTTGATGGGCCTGTAGTCACTGCAGTAGGATGCAAGGATCATCTTGCTGTGGTAACTCATGTTTCAGAGTGTCTTCCTTCAAATGAACAGGTAGGTATCATTTCTCACTGGTTCTCTGCTTAGATCAACCTTGGAGTCACTTGGCATCCCCTAAATAGTAAATAGTGTGAAAGGACATTGTCAATATGTGTTGATACCGATATTAAGCTTCTTAAACTCTATAGTCTTAGACATTGTGAATGCCTCTTTCAGTCCTCAGAGGGATCTTTATTTTAAACCAAGTAAAAACCTAATATAAATTTATCTTAATTGGGATAGTTTTTCTTGTTTTTTTCTGTGGTTTCACTGTAGAAATTTTCAATTTTTAATAACTCTGGACTTAAACTAAACTACAGTAGGGACTGAAAATAACCTTCTCAAAATTGGACAATATCCCCACTCCAAATGTACATATTTCGAGATGATGGCATCTAGATCCATATGACAACAAATATACTGTCAGGTTATTATCTACAATGCATCCTCGCCTCAACCTTGTTTCACAAATTTGCAGGTGATGGAATTCAGAGTCTTTAACATATCCAAAATGACTCAGGAGTTGAAAGGCCGTGTTGCCTTAACCCCTGGCTCACGTTTAACATGGATAGGATTCAGTGACGAAGGTTCTTTGAGCTCATACGATTCTGAGGTGTGCTTTCTTGCATTCCCGCTCACTCATTTGCTATTGCATTGCATTGCATACAACACACATTACAACAAAAAGGTTTCTTGCAGGGTGTGTTGAGAGTTTTTACTAGTCAATATGGTGGCTCATGGATCCCAGTCTTCAGGTTACTTTCCGTAGCTATCTACAATTTCCGAGAAGTCTCCTTACGCATGTTTCCTGAAGGTGTTTTTACTTACTGAATTCATTGTAATTTTCAGTACCAGTAAAGAGAAGAAACAAGAAGAAAACTACTGGGTGGTTGGCTTGAATACAACCAGTTTGTACTGTATAGCTTGTAAATACCCTGAGATTTTCCCACAGGTATATATTATCGCTCTTGATATTAAGGTGTTTACTTATCTGGAAAATATAGGCTCACCTATTCTTCCTGCCATTTCAGGTGACACCTAAACCAATCCTTACCATACTAGACCTTTCTCTCCCGCTTGCATCCTCAGATTTAGGAGCAGCATCTCTAGAAAATGAGTTAATGCTAAAGCAGCTGCTTTTATACGAGGTTTTTCTCTCTCCTTGTAACACCATTTTAATTTGCTGTTATTTCTCCTTTTTCTGGTCAAGTTTTGATAAGCAGTGTGCTCCGTGTCTCCAAAGTGTGAGCTACCGAAGTGTGTCTGAAATAGTCAAAATTTGTTTTGGGTAAGCAACAGGGATGAATATACCAGGAGAATTCATGTTCTTGCAAAACATTTATTCCTCTACTTATATGTGTGGAATTCTAGCTATATGTAACCAAGCTAGAGACATTCTCATTACAAAGTCTGCTGGAAACTAGTATCAATTATCGATATGTTTGACCAATTCCAATATATCATTTCCTCCTAATCTCAGACTCAACGAAGAGTGGACGATATGGCTTTGGTCGGGGTAGACACAACAGCACTTGAAGATGAAGCTTTCGACCTGGAAGTTTCTCAAGATAAATGCATACTAAGACTCATCAGCTCGTGTTGTAGTAGTAAGTTAATTATCTATGTGCTCGTGTTGTGTGTGAACTCAGATTCTAAGACCATTGCTGTCCACATTTTTACAACAGGATTCTTTACATTTTTTCAGGTGATAGTTTTGTAAGGGCCAGTGAACTTATGAAGCTTTTAACTCTAGAAAAATCAATGAGAGCAGCAATAACACTGGTTACCAAACTCAAGCTTCCTTTTTTGGCAGAAAAATTCAGCAGCATACTGGAGGTTATATACAAGAACTTTCATTTCTTATTTATTGCACAAAATAGAAGAAAGATTATATACATACCGCCATTGCTTTCTTTAGTCGTAATGCTAATTTTCTGGTTCTTCACTAACAGGAAAGGTTGCTTGAAGAAGCTAACGAGGCAATAACAGATCCTTCAGAGAATCCAAACAGAGAAGTGGTTACAAGAGTTGAATCCAAGGTCCAG